CGGTCGTACGGTGGCGGTGAGAGGGGTTCGCGTTTTCACCGGTGCGCGGGCACCGTCGTGTATCGCCGCGCGTATTGACTACTACGCGCGGTTTACAGGGGGCTCAGTCTGTTTTCCGCAGTGTTCTGACGGGTGCGTGCTCGCGGGTGTCGCGCGTCGTTGTGCCGAACGACATTCCGTTTCGGTCGAGTCCCATCCGCGTCTGTGGTGCCGAGCGTGACGGCGACTGTGTCCGAAAACGTACGTACGTGTGTGTGTGTGTGTGTGTGTGTGCGCGCGCGCGCGGCTCTTATACATGATATATATATAAATAAATATTCATATACATAGAGAGAGAGAAAGAGAAATAAAACAAGAACAATACACGAAATAAAATAATAATAGGTAAAAAAATAAACCGTACGGATATTCATTTACACGTCAGTACAACAAAGGAGAGACCCACACACGCTTACGATTAGTAGTGCCGCGTGGGTAATACTATTCAGTCCGGAGGAACCGCTTGGCTACACGACCAATATTGATCCGGTATAGGTTTCGCAGTTTCGTATTATTATTATTACTATTATTATTATTTTATTCATTATTTTTTTTTTGCTTAATGTGTAACAATATGTATTACGAACATAGGCACAATAGGGGTTTTAGCAGCCCTGAGTTCAAATGGAGCACTCCTGTTTTTTTTTCTTCAGATCTATATAATCTATAGTAATTACAGTTAAATACTATTTAATTTAAATTTCAGTACCCCCAATATTTGGACTCTAGTTGCGTCCATGATTGCGAAGTATGGATAAAAATTGTAGATTACGACTCGTGAGCAGGTACGGCGTGAGGGGGTGGGAAATAGAGGCAGTTGCCCAGGGCCCCGCGCCTTAATTTATAATTAAGGCCCTGCGGTTCTGATTTAACTGAACTTAAAATATTTTATTAATATAAATTATAAGACCCAACATTAATTTTGCCCAGGGCCTCGCCAACTCTAGCACCGTCACTGCTCGTGAGATTTGTATAGATTCGGCGCGTCGTAAATATTCTCATTTTAATTATTAATTAGTTTTTTAGTACTATTTTCCCACCTAGATTTGAAGTGATTACTTACCGTTTATATTGTAATTTTACTCTTACTATTTTACTATACTTATAATTATGTAAGGATGATAGATATATATTTATAAATAAGTGCTTCATACATAAAAAATTTTATATTTCCATCTCTTCAGCTAAAACAACTGCTGTACAAATACATCTGTACAAGTATCGTCATCGCGAAAACACCACTACGGCATGTAATATACAGCTTAATCACATCATAATACTATTGTTATCCTGGATAAATATACATATCTACCCATTATTATAATACATTATTAGAACATATGTCCTTATAAAGTATAATTTTTGCCAGTGGTTATTCGAAAAACTTACACTATGCGTTTTCATATTTTATAAGTATAGGAACAAACATTAACTACCTTTATATATAAAGCAATATATTGACATAAAGTACAATCGAAAAAATAATTACAAGTTCTTTGTACATTCTCTTACAAATTGTTAATTTTTCAAATCGTTACTGGAAATTTATTTTTTATTTATAAAAAAATCTATTTCATATACCTACAATTAACCGCAAATAATATTGTATATTTTTTAATTTCCTGGATATTGGATTTAGATTTTTTACATGTTATAAAATTACGTAAGTTCTTAATTTACCAAATTTGTTGTTATGACTGAACTGATCGTATTCATGTATTTTATTTAAAATTTTCTACTTTTGGTTTGTTGTATACTAAAATTTAGTAGCTAAATCGCGTGTAAAATGTTTTATGTATAACTTCAAACTTTTTATATTTCGACGTGATACTACCTCGATAGTATAGCAAATATAATATTTATTATTTGAATTGCTTATTAATTTAGTAAAATTACTATATAGTTTATTTCGGGTTGATAATTTTATCTATAAATCGTTAAAACAACGTTAGGTACAGTTGTTCGTTTATTTTCTTTCAAATATTTTTACAAAACCGTTACTATTTTTTAATTTTTTTTTTTTTTTTTTAATAAAATTTTATATATACAATAAAATGTTAGTAATTTTTCAATTATTTTAAATTTTATAACGTTACGTGTTAATGTTTTAATCATTTTTGTACCATATTAAATTTCGTTTATTTTAAAAAACGGATACATAAGAATTAAGATTTATTAAAATTTTAATTTTGTGTTTATTGACATAATTATACATAATATATACCTAATATCTGTAACTAGTATATTTATTTTGATATGGTGTGTTGATCGTTATCTGTTATAATACTAAGTGCATACTTAGTTATTATATTAATGAATATAGTTATTCATTTTGTTATAATATGAATTAAAAGATAATGTTTCATTAAATCTTATTATACCTATTTTTTATTGTTTAATTTTAAAAATTAGATAGCAATGCATTGTATTCATATATTTGTATACAATCAATACATTTTTATTCGTATGATATTTAGATTTTATAATATTTTATAACATGTACTGTATATCTACTAACCTACCTACTGTAAAAATATTGATGTTTTGAACGTAATTAATTTTGAACATAGCATGTTCAAAATATACAACTTTATTGAATTTGCATCTTATTGATAAAGACTCTAATCATTTAGTGTTAACTTTTAAAATTTAATTTCCTAGTTGCATTTAAAATCTTAAATTTTTAAATGTTACTTAAGTGCCTTGTATTTTTATAAAATTATCAGCGTTTAATTGTATTGATATATATATATGCTTGATATTCCTGACTACAAATTAGAGACTTGTATGGTTTTTATATGGAAGTTATTATATAGGAGTAAAAATTCGATGAAATAATTTAACAAACAATGTTAATCTGCGTCTCATAATATGAAAAGCTAAACTCTCCGAAATCTGCTTTATTTATTTTAAATTATGTAGAATTGAATTAGTTAATATGTTCGCTGTTTTTTTTTACTATGTGATACTATTAATTAATATGAAATAACGTTAGGTTTTATAAATTTGAAATAATTATTATTTTATTTACTCAATATTTGATTTTTAAACTGCATGAAATAAGACCATTCTTTGTTAATGTGTGTGAGAGTGTATGTATATGTATATGTCCAACTAGGATGCGTGTAGGAAGTGATTCTACTATTTTCAATTTTTTTTTTAGAAACTAGTATATTTACAACAGATATTTTTGAAAAATACTAGTATTATATTTATGTTTAAATAAAATGACATGAAGACACTTATTGTATTTATTATATATATATATATATATATATATAACGCTACATAAGTAATGAAGTGCTGAATATTATATTGACTGGAACCACTTTAAGCAGGTTATCGTACTTTATAAGTGGATCATTGACACTCTTATTTAGTTGTACATATTATATTTGAATTGCATTAATCGACACTTGTATAATATTATTTTAATTTTTTTATAACTCATAAGAAAACAATTTTATTTATAAAAATAACTGTTCAGTGTTACCAAGTGTAATTATTGTAAAATAATATCACAGATTATAAATATACTTTTTTTTAAATAAAAATAAATAAATAATTGCTGATTGTATAAAGATCAAGTCATTAATTTATATGCGTGTGGGATTGACATAAACCAAAACAATTATTACCACAAAATTCAAATATACTTTAACTATTTATGAACATCCGAATCTAACTAGAACGTAATTATTGGCACATGCTGTTAGAGCGTGGTAGTAATCCGTTAGTTAAGTATACTCTATTATTGTACCGTTGTTTAAATTTAGAGCCCGACCTTTTTATTTTTCCGCTGCTTGTAAATTATATTATGCGTTTAGTTCCTTTTACGTTTTATCTTAATGCTCTACAGATGACAATTAATTATAAAACCCTAATCTTTCAATATTTATTTTTTTCAAATTTATTTCTAAATTTTTCATTATCACGCAATGACCTAGTTTCACTCTGACCTATTTATTATTACGATAACTTATTATTTTTACTATTCCACGAAACAAGGCATAAAAAATGTTTTCATATGTTTAAAGTATCTATTTAAACTTAAATATATTTTTTTCAATTACGAATATAGTACATTATAGTTATTTATATTATATAATATGATAAAGTATCAGTTTATTTGATTGTTTAATTATTTAATGATATTCTTAAAAAAATCAAATGATTACACTATGCATTGATAAGTATAGTTCTTAGCTCTGGAATGCTAATACGTTTAATTGTAATTTGGATATTTCACTATTAATTTAATGTATTTTTCAATTGCTAGAGTATATTAGTTGTTAAAAGATTTATTTTCCATGCTTTGATCAAAAACTTCTTATGTGAACAACTATCTTTATTATTTTTAGTTAATAATAAATTATAAATCATATTAAAAAAAATTTAACAATAAAGATATGTAATACTTAATTTAATTTTTATATTATTATATCTTATGAATTTACTGATAAAGTTATATTTATTTTTGGTTTTTGGTTTAATTTTCAGGGTGGTTATCCTGCTAAACTAAAGAAAGTTTTAATTGTAACAGCGCCATTATGGTTCAAAGCTCCATTTAAAATACTTAGGTTATTTGTACAGGAAAAGTTAAGAGATCGAGTGTTCACAATCAGCTTACCTCAGGTTTGGGATTTTATTATAACAATTATTGTGTTATATAAACAAATATTTGTGATTTTATTTTATAGTTGATTCAACATATACCTAAGGAATCCTTGCCAATACATTTAGGTGGTACTGTCAACGTTGAACACAGTAAATGGTTAGCTTACTGTTTGAACTACATGACGAACAGTGATAAATATGGAAGTTCGGCTATGTCCGACCACATATGTAATTCAAACAATACAAAAAAAGATATTGGAGCAGATACCAAAGTATGTTAACAATGTAGTATTATTATTTTATTTCTAGAAAACATATCATATTTTTATACAATTTAATATTTTGATTAATATAGTATTTAAAAAGGTATATTTTTATACACATATATATTATTAATATTTTCATATGTGTAATTTATCATTAAGGTGATCAATTTATTAAAAGAAAATAATGTTATCGAAGAAAGTGCAATAGTTCAAGATAACTTATTGTCAGGGTGGACATGCAATACTACAAATTCAAAAGGTAAGCTATGGCTTCAAAAATTAAGTAAAATATGATTTATTTGTTATTTTACTTTTTCTCACAGAAGAAAATTCTCCCATGCCTCCATCATCAGTTAGTAGTGGTTTTTCAGATGACGACAGTTTGCGTTGTGATTCTAGTCAAAGTTTAACTATTAGTCAATTTGTTGAATACGTTGTGAAAAAAAAGAGAGCTGGCCTTATCAAGGAATATGAAGAAATTAAAACGCGTTCACCTGATGGTACATTTAATTCTGCCAGGTATTTGATACTAATGTTTTTTTAGTCATTGAATCATTATTAATTCAGTTTTTCTATTTCTAGAGTTCGGCCAAATTTATTGAAAAACCGTTATACAGATGTGCTCTGCTACGATCATACTAGAGTGTTATTATCACAATCTGAAAAAGATCCCATGTCTGATTATATACATGCTAATTTTGTTGATGGCTATAAACAAAAAAATGCATTCATTTCAACTCAGGGTCCACTACCTCATACATGTGCTGATTTTTGGCGTATGGTTTGGGAACAACAAGTATTAGTAATTGTTATGACAACAAAAGTATTTGAATGTGGAAAAATTAAGTGTGAACAATATTGGCCGCCTGAGGAATTATCTGAAGATCAAATATATCAAAATTTCAAGGTGTCTACTAAATCTCTTAGTCAATTTGATAATTTTGCTGTTACTAGATTGGAATTAACAAACACTGATGTAAGTTGGTTATTCATTTTTATCATGTGTATTTTATTGTACTTTTCATTTAAATTTCTTCATTATTTCAGACAAATGAGATAAGGCAAGTTTCTCATTTTCGTTTTAACTCTTGGCCAGATTTTGGTGTTCCACAAAATGCTGTTGCTATGTTAGATTTTCTTGAAAAAGTCCGAAAATGTCAGTCATCCATGTTACAAGACCTTGGAGATAAATGGGCAGGACATCAGCGAGGACCACCAATTGTTGTTCATTGTTCAGCAGGCATTGGTCGAACTGGTAAAATTATTTATAACTTTTATTTAATATCAACATAAGTAAATATTTACCAAATTAATTTTTTTAGGAACATTTTGTACATTAGATATATGTATTAATCGGTTGGAAGAAACAAGTACTGTAGATATTAAAGGCACAGTGGAAAGAATTAGGTCTCAACGAGCTTATTCTATCCAAACTCCTGAGCAGTATGTGTTCTGTCACTTAGCTCTAATAGAATATGCATTAGCCAATGGTTTTCTTAGTTCTCTTCCTGATCTTAGTGACTTAAAACCACAAGAAGACTCGGATTAATGAACTATTATATAGTTATTAATTGTTCAACGCATTTATTAAAAATATAATGTAATTATGTATACTATTATATACATACTATATGCGTAGATAATCAGAAACGAGATAAGCCCAGTTATGGTCTATTTGTAATCGTTTTCTGACATTACTTTTGTAATATTTTTTTCATAATTTTACTATTATATGTTAAATGATTACTTAAATCAGAAAAAGATAACAGATCTAATTAATTTTTATTGATCTAATGTTTCATATTTTTTAATCAAAATATGATTTGTCCATTTATACTTGGTATAGATCTGATTTTGACCTTCCCCTAACATCTTATATAATGTATTACATACTTAAATATTATGTTAAATAAAAGTATGTATCTTGTCTTTTGCTTCAATCATAAAACTAATTTCGTTATCAAAGAATTTAATACACTTTATTTTTGCATATATAAATTATATTGATTATGTATGAACAATATTATATGTACACATTTTTTTTATCAAAATCCTTATATACAGGAAGTATATAACTTATATCCAAGACTACATTATACTATTGTGAACAAACTATCAATTTTCTGTTGACCATTCCATGTATCTAATTTTTTTAATGTAAATCCTAAATCTGTTGTAATATGTGATAATTATTTTTTATCTATCACAATAAGGTACAATAATAATATGTGTCACATGTGTCAAAATGTGATGTCTTATGTTAATATTGAATTTTTTTATAATCATCTATTATTTAAACTTTTGGTTGTAAACTCTTGTAATCTATTGAAACCATGAATGTAAATGAATAAAATACATAAAAATTACTGATAAATTTGAAAAATTTAAATTTAAACAAATTGAATAATAATATATTTGATAAATTATTTGATTACCACTTGCCATTGTTGTCATATAATAACTAAGTTCAACTTAATAAACTCATTATTCTTAAAAAGCAATTTGTGTTGTCTTGGAGTGAGTGCATAGTATTTTGAAAATTATTTCATATAAACATATAATTGTGTTGATTATTCTTCAAAAACTATAGTTTACTTAAACAGAGATGTTTTTGATTCTTTGCTTAATGGGGGCATGTTATAAGTATATAATGTAAATATATTCAGACATGGTGCACCATGATAGATTATTGTACACAATCCCGATTTACAGGGGCAAAGTATGAATAATTTTAAGTTATCTGAGACTGTAGGTTAAATATAGCATCTTAATGGATAATTTAATAAACTTAAAATATACACCTTGAATATTAGTATTAAGAACATTTAAATCAGTTATCTAGTTAGGTATTTACAATTGAAAACTAATATTAATATAAAATGATAGTTTAAGATGAATAAAATTAATACTAATTGCTATTAAATTAGAATTATTTTAATTAATTATTGCTAAAAAGTAATGATAAGTAAATAGAATTATATTATTTTTTTATTATAATTCAATATTTTATCATAGCGAATAATGACCAGTATATGTTGTATTATGGGTTGTCAAACAGGATATAAATTAAATCACAATAATAGCATATCTACTTTTTCTTTTCCAAAAGATAAATGTATGAAAAAAAATTAATTAATTTAACCCCTCGAAAAAAATTTAATTATTACAAAATATTCAATACTTTATGCCAATAACTTTCAAAAAGATTAAACCATTTCAAAATAGACTTCAGGGATTGGGGATAAAAAAGTGTTTATTCCTATATATTTCACAATGTAATTATTTTAAATTATGAAATTTACATTTAGATTTAAAAATGTGATACTAAGAACATGGTTAACTGTAGGTTTTAATATTTCTTGTATAATTACAACAAAACATCACCAACTTACATTTTGCATTCAAATTAACTGACCAGTAAATTCTTAAAATTACTTATGAAATAATTACTTATTAATAATAACTACAGTTAAAAAGTTTTTATACTAATTAGTTTTATCAAAGTTTACATTATGCTAGCTTATACATATTGTTTATGATATTCTAACTAATAGTTAGACTACAATATTATACAACAATATAATAGTTAAACTATCAACAAATCTTTTAACATGACAATATATTATATAATGTTATGTTATAATTCATTTCAGTTAACTATGCCTACTTTAAAATATATATTGTATATTTGTATATTATCAAAGCAGCCTAAGACTATGATAACTATATAATCTCTATTGACCATTATATTAGTTATATACTAATATATCAATATATAAGAGTTCTATCATCTTTTTCGGGTAAATTTGAAATATCCAAAATTAAGAAAATGGTTCCTATGAGGTTCCATGTTTATTTCCTGGCCCAAAATATCTTTCTAAATTAATTAAAATAAGAAAGTCTACTTCAAAATGATTTTGTTCACAAATTGATTCCAAAAGCATAAAAAAAATAAAAGCAATATTTTTAATTAAATTAAATCCATTTTTCGTAGTTAGGTATTATTTCTATACCTATCTCACATTTTATTCTTATATATAAAATTACTTTCAATCAGGCCCGTATTTAGGGGGGGGGGGGGGTGCACGAGTAGGCACATGGCCAGGGGGCGTCAAGTCTCAGGGGTGGTAAAATATTTTAGCAAAATTTATTTTAGAAATTATGTCGGTACCTAATGAAAAAAAATAAAATAGTATAATTTGATAATAAAAAAAAGTATTGAACGATTTTCATTTATAAGTTATATTTTAATATTAAAGAATCTCGATCATGGATAAAATAATAAGTGTTATATTATTATTATTTATTTTTTTTGGAGGGGAGCATAAATTATATGCTCGGAGGCGCCAAATTTTTAAATACGGGCCTGCTTTCAATATATGTTGATTTAAATGTACCCTAAAAATATTTGCGCAGATGAAATTAATCCAGAATCTATTGAACTTTTTCTATATCCTGTTTTGTCCAAAAACCAGAATTTTTAATACATATGGTATAATATTAAGTTCATCACTCTTCCAAATAATTGGAAATAGGAAGTATTTAAAACTAATATTACATTTTATACAATAAAATCAAATGAGAATGAACTCGGAATTTATGTGGAAAAAACAAATAATTCTGGAATTAATTTTGATAATGAATATCAAATGTAAATTACCTATATAATATTAATTTTGATATTTAAGATTTATTTGTGAATTCAAAAATTGTTTCATTGGATGACTGGATTTCAGTTTTAAAAATTTTTAAGTATTAAAAAAATTTGTTTAGATGATATTTTAGTTGAAGAATTTGGTGAAATACCTAACTTTTGAATGTGCAGATATGGTCTTCCAATATCGTTGGAATTATAAAGAACTTATATATAATAATAATAATATCCCATTTATATTTTATCAACTAAAAGTAAAAGTATATTTTATGAAAGATTGAGAATTACTTTTCGTATAAAAAAATCAAGGTTATCTGTTGTAAACCCTACAAGATTTTTCTTACCACCTATAAAGAAAAATAAATTAGATTAACTAATAAAAAACATAATACTCAAAAAACAATCTTAAGAACAAAACATAGAATTAAATATTTACAAAAACAATTAAATTATGCTAAAGAAAAACTAAACAATCCATCAGATTTTTTCAGTTGAGGGTTTAATTATTAAAAATCATTTAAATGATTCGCAATCAACTATGATTAGAGAAATAATTATGGCTAGTCGCTATAAGAATCTAAAAAATCGTCACTATTCTGAAAACTGGATGTTATTATGTTTATTATTCAATATCCATTCTCCTGGAGCCTATTGTTTTCTCCAAAAGCAAAACTTATGTCTTTACCGTGTACTTAAACTATTCGCAAGTATTTGTCAATAGTTAAAACCAATTATGAATTTGATCTCCAGTTTTTTTATCTACTTAAAAGACGAATATCAAAATCAAAGACATGGAGTTCTTTTATTTGACGAAATTTCTTTAGGTAAGGCCTGTATGTAAATACACGGGATTTGATATATTCAAGTTTAGAAGATATGGGAAGAAAATTAAAAGTCTCCGAAAATAATAATAATCTTGGCTTAGTGTTCTTCATTCAAAGCCTAGATAGCTAATTTTCTCAACCTATGCAGTGTTTGCTTCTTATAATTAAGTTAAATGTAATAGTTACCAAATATATATTTGTTTTATTATTTATTAATACCAATAGTAATATTAAATACAACAGTCTTAACATACGTAGTTAGGATCGTGGCTTGTGCTGAACTAATGTTATTTGTTTTCTTATGCAATTTTTCCCTCCTGCTTCCTTCCATTTCCTTTCAAATTGATTATGATGGACGATTTGAACATTGATGCGTTATTTGAAGCACCAGTCAACAAAAAAATTCAGAAGCTCCGCCTAAAGAGAGTAACGGCACTGAGGAAAATTCACGTTAACACAAATCTCATGAAAGTAGTTACCGTTCTAGATTTTGGCACGGGAAAAGTCGCGTAAGCGTATTCGGTCTAACCGTAAATATCTTCAAAAATGTCGTTCCAGAGATAAACATCGTAGTGATTCCAGAGACCAATATGCTTATCGGTGGTCTAAAGATATACGAAGTCATTCGTGGTCTCCACCTAGTCAAACCACCTAAATATAGACCACTCTTACCTCTCCTCGTTATGGTAGGAAACAATCACCTCTAACCTATAATAATATCTATATTTTAATTTTTTTATTCTAAATATTTACATTTTTTACGCATTATAATGGTCAGAAAAACAATTCCTAGTTTTTCTTATACAAAGGGGAATATCGCATATTGATCAAATTCACTATGTTCTAACTTCTTTTTGTTTTATGCTACATTGAGTATATCTCCTTCTAGTCTACAATTTTGGCTGATGATCGGATTTTTTGAGACTGATATAATCGGAAACTGATGGCTTGAATTTTTTATTTCTATTAGTGCTTTTGTTGTGTTTTTTAATTTACGTTTATTAACAATTGTTGTGCTTAGTACCTGTCCCGTAAATTCTCGTCTAGTTTGTCATTGTCATTTTATTTCCAGTAGCTTGTGTATATACTATATGCGAATTTACAATTGCAAGAAAATGAAAAAAAATTTTATGCTGACAAATTTTACTTTTACGATTTATTTGGCATGATTTTTTATTTTGATCCAGTTTATCCACGCAGTTCATATTTTGATTATAATTTTTCAAAACTTTTAGACATGGTATCATTAAAACTGTTCCATCTTTAGCATATATTTTTTTCAAAATAATTATCCATCCATTATAAATAAGAGCAAATAGGAAATAAACTATCTGTGTAATAAAATAATTGATTTTTAAAAATGTATCTACTTTTTATCTAGATGAATTATAATTATTTTTTATCTTTTATAAAAATTATTTTATTTGAGCTTATTTTTATCTTTATCTAAATAGATATTATATATATACTAGCCGACCCGTCACAGCTTCGCCCGTGATTGGTTGTTTATTTTGCC